ACCTGTGCAATAATCATGCTGTCTAATCAGCATCTGGATATGCCACACCTGTGAGGTGGATGGATTATCTGGGCAAAGGAGAAGTGCTCACTAACACAGATTTAGACAGATTTGTGAACAATATTTGAGAGAAATAGGCCCTTTGTGTACATAGAACAAGTCGTAGATCTTTGAGTTCAGCTCATGAAAAATGGGGGCAAACACAAAAGCGTTGCATTTATAATTTAGTTCAGTGTAGTAACAACAGATAAGATAGGCTAGTGGTTAAGGCACAGAGCTCTTGCTGCTGCTCCCCGAGTTCGAATCAGGGTTGTGTCAGCAAGGGCATCCGGCGTAATACACGTGCCAAATGTCAACATGCAAGTCGTCAGTGTGACGATTCGCTGTGGCGACCCTTAAATGGGAAAAACCGAAAGTGGCTTTCTTTCTGTAGTAACAACAGATAAGGAGATGTAAAATAAAATAAAATGTTGGGCCAGATTTTAACACACAAGGAATTTGACTGGTACAGTGGCTCTCAATGTGCATGTACAATGTTCTTCTTCCGTAAGGCAAGGAGTAGACAAGTGAACTCTGTAGAACTGTATCAGTGGCTCATGGGGTAGGGGGGTAGGAGGTAGGATCCACTCCCATCTCTGCTGTTGTGTGTTCAGCTCCAGATTGTTGCGAACACATCGCAGGGCCAGCTGGTCAAACTTTTATCTGTAGGCCGACCTGTCACCGTCTCGGATGAGACTAAGGAGTTTAATAGAGGGGTCCCCTTGAGGTCCAGAGGTTTCTATGCATATGTCATTATTTGTGATTAAAATAAAACTGCACATGTCCTCCCTTCTTCCAGAGATACAAATAACTTCTCAGCAAAGGAAATTGTCTAGTTTTCCTCACTGTAGGTAGTGTATGAGTGGCCACACAGTGTCTGCCTATCCTATAAAACCTTCTCTATGTATTACCTATTGCCTTTTACATGCTAAAGTGAAACTAATGAGTAAAGTTTAGTTGTGTAATTTTTCCTTAATGCTACACAAAGGCAATAAGACAAAGGTCTTTATACAACCAATTCGGTGGTTTGAACTTTAGGTAAATCAACACTAAAAGCATACATACTAATTCAGTAATATCAGCAGTTATTTTGACTTTGGCAGATGGATGGAGCCAGGAGTGGAATATGCTTGAAAACACCTCTCTCTCTCTCTCTCTCACACACACACACACACACCATCCTCCACACACTTATTTATCTTCATCACTAGGGGTCCTGTTGGTCAGAGTATTTCAGGAAAGTGAGTGTTCCAGCTCTGGATTAATCTAAGCAATATGTGTGTGTGTGTGTCAGCACATACAGTAGTTCATGTTTGTACATTAATAATTCCCCTAGGATCCCTGTGACTTTTTTTTGTTATCTTAGCAATCAACAGGGAGTGGTACTAACTTGCCAAACACCATCACATACTAATCTGTGAACACTGCCTATGTATGCAAAGTTATCTGACTAATGTGTCTGGGTCTACAGTATTTATGCAGACCATCTGTATAATTTTTTATGTTCAGTGTCCTGAAACGTTTAGAACTTTTTCGGAGCCACTGAACAACTTTCAGTGGAATGAACAGGACACCATCTTGTAACCCAGTATCCAGTTCTCCTTAACACAGCCAGTTACCATGGTGATTTACCATGGTTAAAAGTGAGCTACGCACTAATAATGCTATATTGTAAAACTGTTAATAAAAAAAAAGTATCTGCAGATAGAAATTTTGTACAAGATGCGTTTATGTTGACTGTAAGTACAATATCTCCTCCTCGTCCCCAAGACTTTAAGACTTTCCTTTTTGATAAAGCCTATAGTTAGGGCTGGATCAGGTGACCCTGAGCCTTCCCTTAGCTATGCTGCTATAGGCCTAGGTTGCTGGGGGGCCCCATGATGCTCTGAGTTTCTCTCCCCTCTCCCTATGCTTCTATATGCCACCATTACACATTACTAACTTTGTGTCTCCTCCCTCCCGTAGTGTGTCCTCTCTCTCTCCCTGTACTTTTCTGCAGGTTGCCCTGGCCCTGAAGCTCTACGTCTGATGAGCAGTCACCAGCCACATTGACCTGACCAGTGTTTCTTTGTTTGTTGCGTCTTGTTGCTTTTCTTCTTTTGTCTTTCCTTTATCCACTCACCCCAACTGGTTGAGGCAGAAGGCCGCCCACCAAGAGCTGGGGTCTGTCGGAGGTTTCTTCCATTAAAGGGAGTTTTTCCTCCCCACTGTCGCCAAGTGCTTGCTCAAGGGGGATTTGTTGGGTTTTCCCTATGTAAGACCTTAGACCTTACTTTGTAAAGTGTCTTGAGATGACTTTTGTTGTGATTTGGCGCTATACAAATAAAATTTGATTTGATTTGAAGACTGTGCTGCTAGCACAAAGTGCATGATGCCTGACCCTGGGAGAACCCTATGCAGCTTCCCTCTGGAAGAGGCTTCTGTTTTCAGTTGTGTTTAACTCAAGCTAACAGACTTAGGTAGGCTACAGAGACAACTTTAATACATAGAGCAGTGAAAGTAGTTTTAGAGGTGCTTTACACTTACACTTTGTCAACAGTGGGAATGTGTCATATAATGTAATCCAGAATACCCTAAACCAAATAATCTTAGAATTTAACAATACTCTGATATTGCAACATTTACTTTAAATGCATTTTAGTAATACATAAATTAATACCTATTAAAGCTGCTTTATAAAATTAACTTTACACTGTAAACAGATTTGTTTGTAATTTAAAAAAAGGCTTCATAGGCCTCTACTGCCCATTGCTTTCATCAGTCTAATGTATATAAGTGACTCATCACCTTAAAAAGTCTGGTCAAGTCTTTAAAAAATTACATGATACATTGTGAGAGAATAAGAGAGAAGGAAAAGATGGACGAAAAAAGAATGTAAGCGTGAAAACACACTTTGCACCAGAGATTATATATGTGTGGGTACTTTATGAACCATGCCTTATTTTCTTGGTTCAAAGGCTATGTACGTTCCATCACAGTGCACTGCCAGGCTCTTTACTACATGTTGTTATATCTGAATACTTATTTATTTGTTCATAGATACTGGCTTGTCTAAGGCCTGGCACTGGGTCTCATTTCTGTGTGAATGTTTCTTTGTGCATGAAACTCCATTTATTCCTACAGTATGTGAGGACAGTGAAGAGAAGCAGCAACTAGTTCACTGCCAGTTGTGCAAACACAAATTCCTGTCATGAACTCCAGCTCCAATTCCAGTAACTGGCTCTTATTTTTACCTGACACTTCCTATTCCACCCTACCCTCACTCCTGTTCACTTTACCTTCGTTACACCAATCGTCCTCCCCTGTGCCAACTGAAAACACCTGTGCTCGCCCTTTTATAGGCAGCTTCATCCCTCAGAGAAGCTGCCAGATTGTCCTGACTGTGTGCTTGATGCTCCAGCCTGTCTAAACCTGAAATCTCTTGTGCTGTTGTAACCAGACATTTGGTTTGTGCCTCGACTACGCCTCTACTTTGCCCCTGCAAGACTGTGAGTACCCCCAGACCCTTGGAACTAAATCTCGACTACGTCTCAGCCTAGCCCCTTAAGAAACGTGAACTTAATTCTAACCTTTTGGATTGAACTCTTGGCTTCTCTGCTGTCTTGCCATGTAATGCTGTGTGCCCTGGTTTCTGCCTCTCTGGATTACTGAACTCTCTCTGCTGCTAAACCAGGACTCCTGCTTGTGGAGGACACTGTGTCTACTGTCTCCGGGCCTTGTCAGAGCAACACCACTACTGGCACTCACCTCTCAGCTCATTTGTTAATGTTAATAAAGACTTACTTGCACCCTTACAATACTGGCCTTTTAATTGGGTTCTCCTCTATTAACAGTGGGTAGTTCTCACCATTCTGACAATTCCACTGAGTATTCAGAAACAGGCAGGCTGAAAAAAAAAACAGAATGAACAATTCTGCATTGTGAGGTTGTTGCCTTGAGTGCCAAAGAAGGAAACATGTAAATATATGTAGATCATTATGAATTTGCTGACATCCTGGCTTCCTGCAGCAAACTGATTGAGGAAGGCATTTGCTTGTACAGTAAATCCAGTCCAGAAGATAAAATCCTCTCTGCTCTGATATAGAGCAAAGTTACAACCTTAGTCTGGAATTAACACAGAACAATCAAGGTCTTGCCAAACAAAACGCACAGTTTGGCTCATAAATGTGAAATTCTGATCTAAACTCACATGCCACATCCCCAGGGCTTTCTCAGTAAAACTAACCCAGATAAAAATATGGGATTTGATCATTTCATGGTCAAAGACATGACAATGGCAAAAAGAAACTTATGGATTTTTTTTTTACCAAAATTTGAAAAAAATCCACTTAAAGTACAAGCCATGTCTTTAACATTACTTCAGCAAGCAGATTAAGTCACTTTAGATGTTGTCTGTACTCTGTGAGCCCATAACAGTGGCCATTTACCAGGGTCTGCTGTCGTAAGTAAATCACTGACATGGTACACAAGAAGACCAGTAGGATTTTGGGATCAATACTGTTGGGTTAATTTATCTGATGTGAGGTAAAATAAATATTCACTGAGGGCCACAGCTAACAGCTCATCCTTTTCAGGCTATGGATGTCACAATCCGTTTGTCCATTGTCACAGTAATAGTTGAATAAATGAAATTAGTTGTGACTGCATTTCAAAACCAGGATACATCTAGTGGTTCAACCAAACTTTGGTTCAGCATACTTACCAGATTATATTATGTGATTTTGTTTTGTTTTTTTCATCAGTCAGATTGGAGTAAACCAGCTCAGGTTAAAAAATATTCCGATTAGATTTACAAATTTGGATAAGATGAAATATTTCTGGTGCCAAAAATGTGATTTTTATGAGCTTTCATGTTAGAAAATGTAACCATTTGTTAGGAATACCAAGACCACTTTTGAAAACTGGATTAGAAAACTGAACAAACTAGAAGACTCACCATGTGTTGGATGAATTTATTCTTATCCTGTTCCATTTGTTAATTCTCTATAGTGGTTTTTAACATTCATTTAAAAAAACAAGCCTTTTTATATAAGTGCAGTATATGACATAACAACCAGGCCTTCCAAAGAAATCAGACTATACAGACAAACCACATATCCCGCTTGACTCATTCAGGACCATTGTGTAATCAGCACATGATCACATACTGAACAAAAGCTTCTGTTGACACACCTGGACTTATTGTAAACACCCTTTCTCAACTGTGACTATCCCTCAGGTTGTGATAATAATCCCCTTGTTTAATCTTAGTAGGTCATATGTGCCACACCAAACTCCAGATTGACAACAGCTGGCTCTTCTTTGGCCAGATCTTTGTTGTATGTCCCTTCCAGTTCTCCATAGCTCTGCTTCCTACTCTCTGTGCCACTGCTGCCCTCTACTGTTCGCTCTGTGTCAGTGCTCTCTGTAGCCTCCTCTCCCACCTCCTCCTGCTCATCCTCCTCTACCTGCCGCTGCACTTCTTTGTGGTTGATGGGTGCCCCCAGTATGAGGGAGTCCGGACGTGACAGGATGGTGTTGCAGTTGGAGCGCTGTTCTCTGGTGGGAGGAAGCGCAGGGTGCTCTAGTGTCACACTGGGGGTCACACCGAGCTGTTTGAGCCTCTGGACAAAGACAGAGGAACAAGATGACAAAGACAAAGATGTTTTCATTCAGAAGTGTGAATCAAGAGTTGCAACACTTTTTCATCTTGTTAGCACAAAAAAGAGGGTTTGCACACCCAAATCACTGAGATCTTTTTACTCAGTTCAAATTGTCACATGTCAACAGCTGAATAATTAATGTGGCTCAAACAGGTAATTCCAAAAGCATAACCTCCAAGCAGCAAAGACTACAAAAACTACATCAGTAATGAACGTCTGTGGTACACTGCAATAAAAAAAGATCAGGTCAAGCATCAAATGGCATTGTAGTGCAAGACAAAAGTGTTTGGTTGTTTCAAGCAATGATACAAGTTGAACTCATTTAAATTAACGGGGGACATGGCATGTAATGTGAAAATCCAGAAGGTTTCACACTGAAGCAGTAGTGTTTCTAGATTACCACCTCTGTTTACTTGCAGGACTGGGAAACAGAATCACTCTTTAAAACAGCGAGCAACAGGAGCAGTGACATAGACGTCACTCATGGCTGATTTATGCTCTGAAATTCTTGTTTTTCCTACATATGATGATGAGGCATGGGCACTCTGAAATATACAGTTTATTGCCACATTCACATTACATGGTGCAGCGATTCAAATCCATTTTTTCCCCTCTAAGTGACTTGGATCTGATCTTGTCATGGATGTGTGAACAAACCAAATCAGTATTTCAGATCAGACCAGGACCACTTCCATTTATGGTCTTAGTTCCAATTCATATCTAATCTCTGACCATACAACCTCCATCATGTGCTTTGTTAAATAAAAGTCTTACTCCTCTGCGCATGCACATATTGCCTGTCATCATCATGATAAAAACAAACATGGAGAAGAACAGCGACAGCCCATGGGATACACAAAGAGAATCACTGTGTGTCAACTCACACTCTCCAGTGCTTGCACTGTGTTCTCTGCCTTGCGGCTGTTTTCTCTCAGAGTCAGAATAGTTTTTAGGATAGACTGACGTGGGTGCATGGATCGATCAAACTGATGGTACATGTTCCTCCAGAACCTTGAAAACACAGGTGCACACAAACACATGAATTCTTGTAGAATAACAGGGACAATTAAAGTACAGCACTATAAATAATGCAACAACAGCAGGGAGGTGAGGAAAGCTGTACTGACTTGAAATGGTAAGGCAGTGTAGAAGGCTCCAGCACGGGGTGCATTTCAGAGTACGCAGGGCTGTAGAACGGATTCAAGTAGTTCTGTTTCTCGCTCATTAGAAATGCCCACAGTGAGTGAGTCCGCTCTCTCAGCCTGGAAAACAGTTCAGCAGTTACAGAGATACAATATATAATAAGGTATGAATCTCAATTCCTATGTGAATCGATTTTTTTCTCCTCCCCAAATAATTAATCTAGGTTTTGTGTACTGTATGTTTATGAAAAGTACATTTTGACCAATCCTCAGGTATATGTTTATTTTAGAAGTGGTTACGTGCTTGGCCACATAGTTTAAAGAGGTATGCCTGTCTACGTTTGTGTGCAAATGTTGAGGATTCTCTCTCTAAATTAGAAAGCTGATGATGAATCTAGCAATAGGGGTGTTCTCCTTTTGCACAGAAGAGTTTAAAGAGGTTATCCCTTCAAAATAGACTGATATATTTCAGAGATGTCATCCCCATAGTCAACAGAATGGAGAATGCAACTACTCTACACAAACATATGTGTTGGACTCACTGCAGCTCCTCTCTCTGCCTCTCATTGTTGCCAAGGAAGTTTCCATATTGACAGGAGTGGACATGCTCGTGGATCTGCAGCAGGAACCACTCACTGAACTCAAATGCCTAAGGAGAGGGTTATAATTAAGTAAATACAATAAAATATACCACACTGCACATAAGGCACATGCTATAGATGTGTGTAAATACAATATACAGGTCATGTAGCTCACACGCTCCCACACACCTGAGGGAACTGCTCGGTCAGCTGCCAGACACACTCTAGGAACTGAGTGAAGATAGGAGACACCTCTTTGGGATCCCCGTCCAACTGGTCACACCTAGACATATGCAATTCAAATATACAATAACAGTCATATAACAGCTACCAAAGACCTAACTAGGCTGAACATATGTAGTGTTTATGTAGTATATAATATAAAACAGTCATAAAATATGAAGAACTATGAAAGTGGGGAAAATGCACTTGAGAGATTCCACTTGAATCTGCCCAAATAGCAAACACTGATGTCTCAGCTTAAGTTATCAGTAGAAACTTGACCTCTCTGCAAACTTGTGACCAAAGGAGATCCAGTCTTTCTCTATCAGTACCTAGAAAGCAAATGTGAGAGAAAAGCCAACATGAAACAAGAGACACAAATATCTAGCAGAAGTAAGAAGCAAGTAAACAAGTGTACTGATATGATTTTTGATGCTATATTGATTTTGGAAAACACTACTGAATTTCAATGAATGGTTTACACGTTACGTTTTGTTGCAGTGGATTTATTTACTGTATTTAATTTGTTTAGCTAAAAATCCTGCAAGGAGTTTTATTTTATTTTACACTGATATAGGCAAATGCTAATTCCTTTGTTATAAAACTGCAAAACTGCAAAAAGATTTTATGCACAAGGTGGTGTGGTTTTTATACAATGACAATTTTCCTAAAATTAGATGTAAAAAATTGCAAATATTCATTAAAGATGATGTCGATGGCAGCCTTGGTCACTCGCGCTCTCTTGTGTTTGTTGTTTTTCTTTGTTTTCTTGGTCTTTTGCAACTCATCCCAGATTACGTTTACCAGAGAAGAACTGTTAAATATCGGACAACTACACCGAACTACCTTTCTCCGACTTTTGTGAATGAATAATGCTATATGGACATTCTGATTAGAGGCGCAGCTGCAATCTACAAGATCTGGAGAAAACGCCATCGAGGGATGTGGGCAGGAGCACTGGTCAGGCTACAGCAGAGAGGGGCCCAGTCTATCCGCCTAGCAAATCTCCCCTCCCTGGTCAACAAGACAGATGAACTCCTTCAACAGGACAAACTCTGGCTTTGCACGCTCTGCTGCTTTGTGCTTCACAAAGACCTGGCTCGGCGACTCCATCGCGGACAGCACGATACAAGTATCGGGCTTCCAGGTGTTCAGAGCGGATCGTGTAAAGGAGCTGTCCGAGAAAACATGAGGAGGGGGAATCTGTCTCTACATAAATGAAGGTTGGTGCACAGATGTCACAGTGCTACAGAGGACATGTACCGCAGACCTAGAGACTCTTGTTATCAACTGCAAACCCTTTTACTCTCCCCGTGAATTCAACACTTTCATGCTAATGGGAGTGTACATAACACCGCAGGCTAACGCTAGTGCGCTACGGCTCCTAGCAGAACTGATAACTAGCCTGGAGCGAGAACATCCTGACCCTCCACTCATTGTTCTAGGGGACTTTAACAGAGCAAATCTCACCCACGAACTGCCAAAATACAGACAGCACGTCACCTGTCCCACCAGGGACAAAGTCACACTGGACAACTGCTACACAATGTTAGGTAATTTCTTAGTTAGATAGATATTCAGAGATTTGTTGTCTAGAAATGTTTATTGCATAATGTGTGTTAAACTGTGCATGAACAGGATCACTACCAGTTTCACTACTAATATCATGATTAATCAACATGTAGCGGAGCCTGAAGAAGAAGACAGAGTTTATGAGGGCATCCCAGAGTTGTATGAGGTGCCTACCCAATTGGAGAGTACAAAGGTTTAAAGTTCCAGATCACAACGGCTGATCTGTACAGATGTATGGTTTAAAGTAGAAGAAAGACAGCACCACAGGTTTGTTTATTGTCATTTATTCTCATTTATAATTTCTTATTGTGGTTGCGGGAATAGGGCAGGACCCAATAAAGATGTCTGGAGACTGAAGAGTAGCTTCAAAAGATTCTTTATTTCATGCAGCATGGAGAGAAATCATACACAGCTTTCCAGATGCACAGAGTTTCTCTAACTAACTGGTAAAGGGGCAGTCCCTTTATACCAAAGTGATACAATACAATCCATGAAACTCATACCGTTATCTCACATTTAACAATTCGCATTCCTTCTCCAGCTGCCTTTGCAACATCAAAGGGACAGCGAGACCTTGACACTTAGTGAGGTCTGCCACACTCCCGGTGCCACACTCCCTGTTCTTCTTCACACAAGACGCATTTATGGGTGCTGGACGTAAATTCTGCGTGAGATGCTCAAACTATGCAAGCTGAACTGATAAGCTGCTCAAAATCTTTTAAAACTGACTGATAAGCAGTGCAAGAATGATTCCAGGTCCTGGGACCAATACATTTACAAGTTTCACACTGTGGCTTTTAAGAAAAACAAAAACATCAATTTCAGTGTGAAGTGACCTTTTAACATAATCACATACCAGTATCTGCTATGCTGGCATCCACACAAGGGAGATCAGAGTAGCAAAGAGCTTTCAGCTCTGAAAAGCTGAAAGCTCAGGTTTCAGTCAATCACCCCTCGTCTGTGTGGGGGAGCCTGAAACCCATCACTGCCTATGGGAAACCATCCTCCCCTGCTGTGGAGGACCATCAACTGGCAGACGAATGTGTTCTACTGCAGGTTTGAAACACTCACCCCTCACCCTCCCCACCTCAGACCCAGCATCTGCTCCCCCGACAATCACCACCCTCCCTCCAGCCCCCCCC